ACAGAAAGGCAGGAGAGTGAGTAAGGAAGCCGAGAGACCGGATGCGCGCGACATGCAATTCCTCGGTCGAAAACAGAGACACCGAGTCGGATGAACATTGGATACACAGAAGTGATGTCCACAGTTCGCGTAGACTGCGATATTTGAACAGTTGCTTCGCCGCTTCGGTGCTTAAATCTGTACCAACTATGTGGCAACTGAGGGGTGACTATGTTGAAATTTAAGGGAAATTTAGCTCAAATTTAAGGCTCATATAAAATCACCAAATGAAGTACCGGCCCCCACTATTCCTCTAAAAATAAGGTAAATCCCATTGGATCGTTATACCTCCTTTATTCTGCGGCAGAGTGCCTGCCGGGTTACAGAATGAATATTATGTTTCATCACTCGCCATAGCGAGAGGAGTCTCGATTTCCTTCCCGTGGGCTGTCTGATGTCTGCACTACAGTTCCGAATGTTGAACACCCACACCCCAAACTGTCCGATTGAAACACCTGGGCATCAAATGTGCAGTTCGGACAGATAGGTCGGGACTGCCCTGTTTGAGCACTTCTGAGGTGCACAAATCCCACAGCCGAAGGCCAACTCTCTGGATTTTGTAGTTGAATGAGGGGCCAACTGCATAAAACAAACAGCTGAAATCACCACACGGGCTGTATATATTCAACAGCTTATCCCTCCCTGTACAGAGTGTACGGTTCACCCAACTGTGGCCATCACACAGTTGGTCACGAACTGTAGATTTAAGCAGGTTCGCGCTTGAATCAGGCTCACTCACCAAACTGCGGGGAATGAATTCACACCAACTCAAAACGAGTTTCTTGTGCGCCACGGCGCCTTCTTCGGACTTGATGCATTCAAGGCGCGGGACTACAAAGAGAAAAGTGAATTAGCAAACGAGACTCGTGAGATGCATAGTATGGTACATACCTCGGATACGGCGTTGAGGTATCTGAATCAGTAATGGTCTCGCTCGACTCTTTACTCTGAGCACGCAGTTCTACAAGGGAGATTGGAGTCAATAACAATGCAGCAAGTAGAGAACGGGGTTCCTTGGCATATCCTGCTCAAGGCAGAAATGAGGTCCGCCTGTCTCGCGGAACAGGGCCATATGCACTGGACACATATTAGATGCGCTAGCGAGATTGGCAAATACGGTGTTCAGAGTTCTTGCTTGTTTCGACGCTCGTATCTCCCGGCTTCGCTCACATAACGATTGTATTTCTAAAATGTATGTGTTCTCAGGCCTGCCATGTCAGTCTATTTGTTTCCCAGAGGTCCTGTAACCACAAGAATCGCGACACGGCAATGACATTCCTATGCCTTTGCAAGATTACCATAAATTAAAATACCACAAAACTTTATGTACACAGAAATAGATTGGCAAGGGTATCGGACTGAAGAAGCATGGATTTATAGAGAAGTAGAAATTCAATTGGCAGAATATTTCCTATCATTGGGTGCAACGCGAGAGCATCCAAATCAGCTCGGCGCATCGGCCAGGCCGTACCAAGGAGACAAGATCCCAGACGGAGGAAGGTATGTGAGGTCGAGATCAAGCCCACACTGCACGAGTGGACGGACGTCGCGCTCCATTTCCCGCGCAAAGTGAACGATCAAACACTTCAATGTCCGAGATTCAATGAAACGCAAGAGCGTGTCTTCGGAAAAATAACAGGCTGTGTTTATTTCCAACACCTGAAGTCCCGGGCAGCAGTGGGTGGTGGTGGGGAATTCAGAAGATGGTATGAGGAGTTCAATAATTTCATCATCAAGAATGTTGGAGGGGCCTTCGCTGTATGCAGAGACCGCGTTGATCTTGATTTCCCGAATAGTATGGGGTATCCCGCGAAGGAAATCTGTAAGGGATGTCTCGGAGAACAATTTGGTGGTGAATTCAAGGCTCTCGATCCGTGGGGCAGCGGCGAAAAACGGGCCGTAGGAACTGGGGCCGTAGAGGGTGGGATCATCACGGCCTGTGCCGCAAAGTGTGAGAGACCGCAATTGTGGGAGCGAGAGCCGGTTGAATAGAGGAAGAAGGGTAGTTGAAGGCTTTCCAAAACACTCTACCGCCAGTGTATGAAGGAAAGGGAGCTCGAGGATAAGCTCCGCCAAGCTGCTATGGTTCTCGACTTCACTATCAATTTGAAGCCGGCAGGTTCGGAGCTGAGGGCACCGGGAGAACACCTGGAGGGTCATATCCCTTGTCAAAGGTATACCGTCACGATACCACCGTATTTCGATCGAAAGGTCTCTTTAGTAAACCATTCCACCGAAGCGGTAACTCCAAGGGAGTGAAATTGCCGCCCGAGATGTAGGCAGAAAGAATGTTGGAGCTGCGAAGGAACTGCAGCGAGTCCCATCGGAGGGAGGTATGGTCATCAATCTCAGTCATGTGGATTGACTTGAGCATAGGCACGTCCACCTCGGTGAGATGCGATAACGCCCCGAAAACCGAAGATTCGGCCGTGAACGCGATGTGCTCCCAACGTGATTTGAATGGGAGCAGGGCCTGAATAATTTGGGCGGCGAAACCAGTTTTACTCGCTATGGCTTTCACCGATATCGACAGCGGGCACTGGCCGGATCGACCTAGCCACATCTTGGTGATCTCAAGCCGCTGAGCCACCTTCTTGTCGATTAGTGTAAGGACAGCGAAATATGGTGGGGTGGGCTCCACGACGTGAAGTCTGGACCAAAGATGGGGTGTCGAGAGAGATATGGTTCGCCAGGAGCTGCAAATGCGCCCTAGAAGGACGGGCGCCTCCACGGCACTCATAACGCAGTTACGGTGTGCTGGAAGGCAGGCTATGAAGATCTTTTGGATGATGTCGAGGGGGAGCCGCCGAACCGGCGAAATGAGAGCCATGTGGGCGTCGACGTAGGCCCCAAGCTTGTCGCGCTCATCTCGCAGTTTCTCGACGGCCTTTTGGAGATCGGCGATTTCATCGTCAAGACACTGGAGTCGACGGGTGGGTTCAACCAGGAGGCTTCGGATTTCAATGTTTTCCTCGTCGCTGGGACAATAGTTCGTCCCGAGCTTAGATGTGAAGGGAGAAGACATGAGGCGATGAGGCGGTGCGCGGCCGAAACACGAACATGTGAGGGATGGAAACACGTAAGTGATGGAAGCTGTCGCGTCGCGAGAGAGTCGAACTCAACGCCAATTTACGGGGAAATTGGCTCCCGAGCCCGAATTCCCGTGATGATGTCCAGCCAGGAGTTCTTGCTTTACTTGAACTAGCCAAGTTTCGGTGTTAATCAGAATTTATTCAATGCGATTCAAGGAGGATCTTCGTGGTACGGGCCGTTCTGAATATTATGATCACGGTTCAAGGCTGAGCTTGAGACGTTGTATGAGCGCTACCGTAGTGTGGTGTGAGAAAGCGGAGACCGGCTGAGGGATAATTCCACCGAAGAATGAGTAAACGGCGCAGCTGCGGACTCGGAGCCTTGACCTTGGCCCGAGTACAAGTCCTGACTCAAGTCTCGTCGGCTATTGTAACAATCTTACTTGTCGATCGTCGTTCGCAGGGAGAGCGACGGGACCTTGTCCACCTAAACTTGAGGAGGTATGGGGACTGGACAGCCCGACAGCCCCAACGCGTGTTCGTCGCACTTCTGAGTTATCAATAGAGACAAGAGACGGGTGGAGCGAGACAGAACTTACGCAGCGAGGGGGATTGGGATGAGACCAGCAGCTATTCATCTGTAAGCTGTAGCGCTGAGCGGAGGAGCCTAACAGTCTTTATGGGAGCAATTTCGAAGCACAGAGAGTGGAAACGGGTGGGACATCCAGAGCTCCGAAGAGATACGCAAAAAGCTCGCAGCCTTTCCGTACAGATAGCGAAGGAAGAAGCGGAGCATGCGAGATGCCAAATGCGGAATCCCAGGGCCAAGTGGAGGCGGGTAATTCACGAGGGGGGCGTTCTTTACATGCATAGTCACTGCGCGGATCTCAGGGAGCTATTCTCGAGAGGGCTCCCAGGGGCGATTAAATTCGGCGCGTCGATTCAAGCGCCCGCATCTTCAACTGACTTGGAGTTGTGGTATTACTAGGCCTCCCTGAAATGCTGCCAGTGACTCGGGACTCGAGTCTGAGTCAAAGAACACAGATTGGACTGTCCAGAGAACACCACGGGTGGGGGGCCTCAAACGATCCATGAGGACCCACAATTTTGAGGAGCAGCTGCGTCGACTCGGCATGCTTGCGGCTTGCGAGTGCGGATTAAAAGATCCAGATAAAATAGCCCGGGCGTCGCGAAAGATCACAGCGCATAAATTGAGTACCAGTGGCAATTCAAGCTGATTGAGCTGGCTTTGTCAAAATTTTCAACGATAGCCGGATGGAAGGCGACGCGTATGAGCGTCTAGTCCGATGTTGATTCGGATTTTTATCGCGAGTACGCAGTTTAATTCTGAGAGAGAGAGGCATTTCCCGGCGTCGCGAAATTATGCAGCCTTGGAACGCGTCACTAGATTGCTGAGGACATCCCCGAGCCGAAGTCAAGATTCCAGAGTTTCCGATCCGAGCGGGTTCTTCGCTCGGCGATGGTAATTGATGGACAGGAGCGGTGCGATTAAGCCCCGTGGAGAGAGTCGCAACGAATCAGAGTGGCATCTAAGACCGCAAGAGACTCGAGAGTAGTAGGTTGCTGGACAGTAGTGAGAGGTTTTTTGTAGAGCGAGTTCCGGACTGTTCTCTTCGCAGTGGTCTTGACGTTCGCATGTTCGCAACTCGACGTTGCATATCCCCGACGGGTAGTCGAAATACGAGATGAAGAGCTTAGCCGCCGTAGGAAACATGGAAGAGAAAAGCAAGGGAAGCCGGGCGTTGCCGGACCATCACGTGTGCGCCTATGTGAAGTTCAAGGTTGAAAATCCGAGCTCCTTGAGCGTAGACACTGTTTGGGTGTAAAAAATATAGAAGGGAATGAGGACGGTGGCTGATATTTAAAGGTAGGAGCGGGAAAGAAAAAAACAATATATATGAGAAAGAATGGCCTGGCCTTGAGTCGAACAAGGATCTTCCACATAATATTCAATTGGGATAGTCCTAAAGAAAGTGGACGTGCTCCCATTACACCACCAGACCTTTTCCTCCAGACTCTCACAAGTTCAATAGATGCACAAATTTTCGCAGGAGAACGAGACCAAAAAACGACATGGGGTGGCGTGGCCTTGAATCGGACAAGGAACTCCAGAGATCTGACACACTTCAACAATAAGAGGAAGTATGTTACCATTACACCACCAGACTTTTATCCCTCCCACAAGCTGAATACGTGCAGCAGTTTCCGCAGAAGAACGAGAACAAAAAATGTCACCAGAAAAAGCTTGGCCTGGCCTTGACTCGAACAATGAACTCCCACAAAATGCCATAACTACTCTCCGAAGGAGGTCAAGATGTTATCCTTACACCACCAGACCATTCTTACGGTCTCACACAACGTAAATACACTGTGGATTTCGTGTGCCTCGATCCAAAAAGAGCTACACCGCCATTGGATGGCCTGGCCTTGAATTGAACAAGGATTTCCTGCTGAGCTTCTCCAAATACTGTAACTCGCTTATGTCAAGCAGGTGTGCTACCACTACACCACCCGGTCACTCCTATCTCCTCCCACGAGTTGAATATCTATATGTCAGACATTTCATTTCACTGCGGGTTGAAATTGGCCATAACATCCGAATCAACGATAAATTCATTCAACCTGACACGCTCGGATGCGTCACAACTTGGTTAGCGCTGGGTCCGCGCGCTCGGTCGTTGTTGCGGCATGACTCACACTCGACCGGGGGATGGATCACTAGGTGATTTTACATAATTTATTACGATCAATTAACGAGCTGGAGGTGTAAGTCAGGAAGGGCTGAAATAAGGTATAGCTGCATATGAAAAAAGGACGCGGGATCGGGGAAGTGAGGAGGTGTGCAAGGGATGAGAAACGGAAACGGGGGGAATACGGGAGGCGGAGAAGAACGAGTTGGATATGTATGTAGATGTGCGGGTTTAGCAGCTTGGATGGATGTCTCCTTCGGACTCGAGGTCATCCCAGCGATGTACGGACAGCGTGCGGGATCGCAGACGGGGAGAGAATGAATCGATATTCAGGACGCGATGGTTCAGAAGTTGAACGCAAGCTATATTATATATGCGATTACTTAGACAGGGAGGTAGACGCGCGTTCCCAAAAGACGACGCCCGCGGCCCTGCAGCTGAGAGCACCGCGTGCCGGCGCCGTATCCGAGGTCGCCCAGTCGTACGAGGGATATTGGAGCAGCCTCGCATGCAGATTGGAACACGGAGACTGGGTGTACATGTCTCGCACGTTAATCGGTCCGGACGTGGCCCGTGGGTGGCGTTGGTTATCGACCAGCAAGAAGTTAAGCTGATGGTCTTCGCTCGAAAGAAATAAATAAAGGAAGGCAGGAAGGAGGATGGAAGGCAGGTAGACAGACGGGCTTCGTGGAGGCGCCATCGATCAGTCCTTTTCATTAATACCGTGGGTGGAGCCCGCAAAGTCGTATCCGTAGTAGGAGTCCACGATTTGCAGAGTTTCAACTTGTTCCTTCTGAATCAGTAGTAGTGAGTGGTCCAGGCGACTTGAGCTTCAGTGGTGTCTAACTAGCGTCGACAGGTTCACCTTGAGAGATTCGGGAGGATCTTGAGACCTTGAGAAATCGTACGGACGGAGAGCGTAAGCGTACTTCAAGGAGGGTGTGTATAGCTAGGTGGCCGTGGAGAAGGCTCGAAGAGTGTAGCGGTTGGAGCCCATGGCCACGTTGGGGGCTCGGAGGAGAGGTGTGGAGTCGAGCTTTCTTTCGAGCGCTTCCTATGAATAAGTATAGTATAGCCTACAAACATCAATATACCTTCGTATAGACTAAAGGAACTCAGATCACGCAACAGTGACTCGCCCTGCATCGAAGTTGAATCTTGATGATATCATATACGCGAATCGGGCGGAGGCAGGAGACAGAACTTCTGGCAGGAGAGGAGGAGAAGGTTGGGATCCGGCATAGACAGCAGGCAGAAAACAGATGAAGGGCAGAGGCGGACTGGACATGGCGGAGCGCCGAGTCGTATAGGTAAAAACCCGACTCCGAGTCGGGATGGGACTCGTGGAATAGATGTCAGATTAATATTTGTACTGCGAGTGAAAAATGAAGGTCCCGTGAAGTCGGGGTCGTGAGGTTGGAGTTAAATTGGGCTTGCACTTGAGTTGGGTGCGTAGGTGGAGACTGAGAGGGCGGAGACGAGGCCTAAGCCGGAGAGCGCGAGGTAGTGCGCGCACATTTGGATATGTACGTATTTAGAGTAGATGGCCGTAACTTGAACTTCCGACGCGGGAAGGGAAGGGAAGGGCCGCACGGATAGTCCAAAGCGGAAGTCCGAGTCCAAGTTCGAAGGAACGAGAGAGGTGATAATTACAGGACGGAAGGATCTATAGCGATTGTGATTGAGGGATCGTTGGAGTCTGGCTAGCGAGTGGATTTACGGCAAGGAAGTTAGCGGTGGAGGAGCGCAATCCGGATTCCGCGAGAGGCGCTAAACTAGTACTACGAGATGGAGCTCGAGGACCGGATGGGAGGTAGAGCGTCCTGAATCTGAGGATCGGGCGTAGATCTCGGATTCCAGTCCGAGTCCGCGTCGATAGGTATCGCGGGTCGGTACTAGTACTTGGTAAGGACTCGCCGGCATTCTGAAGCCGCGTGCGGGTTCTCGTTCTCGAGTGACGAGAGAAGGCATAGTAATTGGAAGGAGTAAAGAGGAAGGGGTAGGAAGGAAGGAAGAAGGACTGAGGAGAAGAGCGAGTGGCGGATTGGGCGCGCGGATCGCGGGTGGAAGCGAATCGCGATGTGCCTTCAGCTACAGGCACGCGCCCCGTGTCATTCCCCTTCCAAACTACCCTACTCCATCCCCGACACAAACACATACACATTTTCTTGCCCTATTTATTCGCCGCGCACTCCGGCGCACCGCGTCTTAGTAGTTTGTATACTTGTTGCGGTATAGAAATGCAGATACCAAAAAAAAAGAAAACAGCTCCAGGCACGCACCCTTCATCATGATCACTGCTGTCCGTTCCACGCACGCATGAATGACGCTCAGCCCGTCCGCCAACCCCTCGGGCCCTTCAAGTTGTCTAGGATGCCCCTGTCAACTCGTTGGGGATCTCAGACTCAAAAATACTACGCATGACGCGCGCATGATCTTACCGTTACCAGGACCTCCGAAACTCCGTTTGGAGGATAGGTCCTGAATCCGACCAATCGGTTGATTCTTGTCCGCCAGGATTTTGGCGCGGATTGGCCAGATTTTGACCGCCCGGGACCTAGCCATTGATCCCATCAGTGTCCCAAACGGGTAATTTCTGGCTCCGGCGACGTCCAAATCTGATTTTTCTTCTCGCCGGCCCTTATTTGAGCGCTTTCGCGAAGATTCAGGTCATCAGGCTTTGTTTGGAGGGAAAATCGGAGATCTGGGCATTTCGTGGGCCAAAAAAAATCCCTGGACCTCGGCTCACCCGCGATTTTTGTCCGCCCAGGACCTAGGCTGTGGGCTCTCGGGAGCCCATTTTTGTCCGTTCCGAATCTAGGTTTTGGGCCCCAAATTCCAAATTTTTGTCCGCCACCGGACCTATCCTCCAAAGGGAATTTCAGAGGTCCTCCGTTACCGTGATCTTAAATCTGATTAGCGCTTAGCGCTCCCGCCTGCGCACGGACTCGGACCCCGCCGCGCTGCCGCGGGGTGGGTTTGATGGCCGGGCACCGCCACGCGCCACCTACCCCGCTCCCGTTCCCGGGCCCTCACAAGGGGGTCCAAGGATAAGCATTGCCCATATGGGGTTGGGTAGGTTGGTTGAGCCCCGGCCGCCAGAAAAAAAAATTGTATGCACTTTTATTTTGCCCTGATATGAGGCCCAGAACCTTCTCGCGACTTCCCAAGCATACTATATGCAATGCTGACAAGATATTACTGTCGTCAATAGCTTGGTTGGCTGTAAATGTGGCCAACATCACTTTTGAACTGCCTCCCGATCAGGCAAGTCATCATGTGATCCCCGAAATGGTCTGGACCAACGCCGAAGTCTTTTTCTTCAACTCACACCAATTTTGTGATTGAACACAGGGATGGACTCTGACATGCCATCTGAACGTCCCCCAAGGCTCAAAAGAATTCTAGCGGCAAATTTGAGGCTTATATAAGCGATTTCCCACGGTAGGTTGGTAGGTTGAAGCCCGAAAGGCCGTTTCAAAAAAAAATTGTAGGTGATATCATATTTTCTTATCGTTGGACCCCCTTGGGCCCTCAGCCCCAGAAACGCACGCCCAGCGCACGACCGCGCGCCACCGACACCGGCACCGGCACACGCAGAGCCTCGGGCTCCTCTCGCCCATCCCCAGCAGCTCGAGCCTGCGCAACGACCAGGCGCTGCGCTCCTCCTCCGTGCTCGCACCCTCGACAACACCGATGTCGAATTCGAATTCAAGCACAAGTATTAGTAGTAGCGGGACAAGCGGCAGCAGCCGCGCGCGCAAACGCACCTCCCTCCCGCCGCTCCCCGCGCTCCTCGCGAGTCTGAATCTGAGTCTGGGCGCGCTCTTCCCTGGCGCGTCGACCTCCTCCACCTCGTCTACTATACCTTCCTCGCCCCCTTCCTCGACCTCCGCCTCTACCTCGTCAGGATCTACATCGTCTTCAGGGGCTACCACTTCCACAACGACGCCCCGAACCCCAACGACGCCGACGCTACACGCCCCCGCGCCGCGCCGCCCTTCTGCTGCCTCTTCTCTGATGGAGTGCGCCCACACGCCTTCGGCCTCGTCGAGGTCGGAGCAGCTCCTACGCGCGGCGCTGAGGAGGGGGAGTGCGAGTCCCATGTCGCCGCCCGCGAACAGACTGAATCCTCCTTCCCCGACTGGCGCCCCCTCCCCTCCCAACCTCCGCCAAAACGACGCTCCTTGCCGACGTCCAGCCTCCGCCGCCACGCTCGCGTCCTGCGCGCCTGCCGAGGGGGGAGGCCGCTAGATCGAAGCGCCGGCGCCGCGCGGGGTCACACGACATTCACTGCCTCATTCTTGCAGGGG